TGAAGGCAGTTGGTGGGGTCCTTTCTGCAAAGGTCTAGATTCTGCCTCGTGGGACTCCCATGTCCAGGCTTTCACACACCAATGGCTACCCCACCAAGTCCCCCATCAGATGTCCACATCCTGATTTGGCAGCATTTTGGTTTTGATAACTTCAGCTCCTTCCGTCAACACCCCTCAGTCTTAGAGCTGACTGGTAGATGCCTCCTGCAGATGCCACCTTCGTGGTCCCTTGGTATCCCGTTTCCTCGTTTTCAGACTTTGAACACTGTACTTAAAAATCTCTATGTTAAGTGTAATCTCTTTATCCATGTGGAGTTATGTCTCTTGTCTTGCGTGGACCCTGTCTGACAAATACTGTCTCTCAAAACATGTGACTACATGGTGGAAGAGTACCCAGTAGTTGGGAAAAAATTATCAAAGAAAATTTCTTGGAGGAGCTGGTACCTGAGCTGAATCTTCAGTGAGAAAATGTTTATGAGAATGTTTTACCAAGTTCTTAGCATAAATAAAAACATTCAGATGAATATTTCTTCTCAGGTTTGCTCATATTGCCACTGTTATTGCTGTTTTTGTTCAGTATTATCATTATCATTATTATTAACACTACTTTTACAAGGAATAATCAGGGTTTAGACAGTTGCAAGTGTTTTGGACGTGGGGTATGTGGTCGATCCAGGAAGGAAATATGAGTGCACATAAAGGCACGTAGAACGTGTACAGGTACATGGCGCCTGACACGGCTCAGGTAGTTCAGTGGAAATGGGCTTCTGGATGGAAAAGTTGAGGGGAATAAGGACACAACAGAGTTTGTGAACTGTGAGAACATGTGTGCATCCTGTTCTGCAGAAGATAAGGAAACAGCAAGCTGATGACTGACACTCCTTTCTGAGCAGTGTCTCTCCAATGGAGGTCTGCTTACTTTTTGGAAGACTCATGTGGATTTATGTTGACCAGGCATGAGTCTATGCACTATTTCAGATGACAGGTACAGGTCATTTGACGGGAATTGATGAGAGGGTATGGGGAGAACAGAATGGATTTGGTGATGAGGAGGTAGAATTGGTAGCATTGGTGATTGATTTGGTATCGAAGGAGAAGCAGAAGGTAATTAACATGCAAAGTGAGGTTCTGGCAAGGACAAGTGTGTGCTTGGAAATGCCAGCCATCGACACAATGGTTCTAGAAAGGGGAACAGGGCTGGACTAACATTCTTAGTTCACTGTAAAACATGGCGTGTGTTTTGGTCCGTTTGGGCTGCTTTAGTAAAATAGCACAGCCTGGGTGGCTTCTGAACAGCAGAAATCTACTTGGAAGTCTGAGATCGGGATGCCGGCACATTCAGGTGGAGCCCCAACAGAAGTCTCCTTGAGTCTTCAGGTGTGGGAAGGGGCCGGGGAGCTCTCTGGAGCCTCTTTTATAAGGCACTAATCCCATCCATGAGGGCCCCAGCCCCTGACCTTAAACACTTCCCAAGGACCTTCTCATACCATCACACTGGGCGTTAAGATTTCAACATATGGGGGCACCTCGGTGGCTCTGTCAGTTAAGCGTCCAACTCCTGATTTTGGCCCAGGCCATGATCTCAGGGTGGTGAGATTGAGTCCTGTATTGAGCTCTGCACTGACAGCATGCAGCCTGCTTGGAATTCTCTCACTCCCTCTGTCTCTGCAACTCTCTCTCTCAGTAAACAAACAAACAAACATTCTTAAAAGAAGGTTCCAACCTATGAATGTTGTAGGGACACAAGCATTCAGACATAGCAGTGTGTTTTAGATATCTATTTACATAAGCTCCATGTATGTAGTAAATACTTCTTTTTCGCCGTGACATTCTCAACAGCTCCTATTAAATCAGGCAGAGAACAATCATACAGACACTGTTTATGGAAGGTAAGATGTTTGATTGTGAAGGAAAGAATGCATTTTGAATTTTTACCACACAAATAATAGATGTTCCCAAAGAAGTACCTAGACAAAAAGGAGTAGGTTTGATAAAATATGAAAAAAACTAATCCCCAACTAAACCAAAACCTAAGTTTTGTATCGCCGAGAAAAAAAGTTTGTATTGCGAAGCCATTTGGGAAAACATACTGTATATTTTATCTCCGTAGGTCCCCATCATGATGATTTTAGATGGATTCATTCATCTAGTTGAAACTTGAATGTCTTCTCTGCGCCAGGCACGGCTCTAAATTCTGTGAATACTGTCACAAAGGAAACAGAGTCACCACCCTCACGGTGCTTATATTCTCATGGAGTGAGATGAACATATAAATAGTAGACAAATTACGTAGTGTGTCATAAGTAAGCAGTACTGTGGAAAAATCAAGAAGGGTGAGGATGTTGGGAGTATCAGGGGCAGGAGAAGGCTGGCTGGGTCATTTAGACAAGTGAGGACACTGATAAGGTCTTAACTTAGTGGAAACCCCAGGAAGGGCAGTACTAAGTCATGCAGTTATGGGGTGCAAGGGGCAATTGGTTTAGGCAAAGGGGATAGCAGATTCTGAGATAAGAATGTGCCTTTCAGGTGAGAGGCACAGTCCCGGCTGGGCTGGAAGCCAGAGAGGTGCCCCAGTTAGTGGTTCCTGTGAGTTTCTGGTAGACCCCCCCGCCGTAGACCTGGTGGACAAGAGGAAGCACCAGTTAACATTTAACTTGTTTGCAGTGACCTATAAACGTGGGAAGAGATGCTTAGCTGGTTTAGAAAGCAAACAAACATCAGAATAATTTTGATTTGGGGCCTGAGAAATTAACAAGATAGAGTACACATCGTGCTGATGCAGATATAGGAAAATGAGCCATAGTGCATTCAGCTCAGGGGGAGTGCACATTCAGACAATTTTTTGAGCTCTACCCTACATAGAAAATTCGAATTTTAATGCTTTTGACCCTGTCATTTTAGTTCTGAGAGTTTATTCCAATAGTATTATCAGAGAGCAACTTAGAGATATACTTAGGAGGAAAATTTTATTATAAAATTGCATAAGATAACACATTTGGAAATTACTGAACTTAACAAAATACATTCTAATCCATCCATTAAATTCAATATTAGGCAGGGGCACCTGGGTGGCTCAGTCAGTTGGGCGTCCGACTTCGGCTCAGGTCATCTTCTCACAGTTCGTGGTTTGAGCCCCGCGTCGGGCTCTGTGCTGACAGCTCAGAGCCTGGAGCCTGCTTCGGATTCTGTGTCTCCCTCTCTCTGGCCCTCCCCCACTCACACTGTCTCACTCCCTCTCTCAAAAATAAACATTAAAAATTTTTTTTTAATTCAGTATTAGGCAGCCATCAAATGTGGAAGCAATCTCTGGCAGAGACAGTCAAAGGGACCCAATATCTCCTTTCCCCATTTCTTAAGAGAAACTCCCAGGGGTTTTTTGCTAGGAATTTGACACATGGAATAAATACTTCATTTCTCAACTTCTGCGCAGCTGTGAGTTACTTTGGACCCAGTGGTGGTTCTTGATTTATAGGAAGAGAAGACTTCCTGAAAGGGAGGGGGCCTGTGTCTGCTGGTTCTTCCTCTTTCTTGCTGACTAGGCTGCAGTTTTTTTGACCTTAAGAGGTGTAGCTCCAACAGCTGGAGATGTGACCTTCAGAATATAAGGGGCTGAGTGAAAAGGGACAGGAAGGAGACTCTACCCAGCCCCCAGTCAGCCCTTGATCGCCTTCCCCCACCCTCTTAAGCTTAGGCTATGTATATTACTGATGCTTCACATCTCCCTTTAATCCTAGATGGTAATTTTGAATCAACACAAGTGCAGGTCATAGAGTATCTTACACAGTTAGCTTTCTAAATTCATCTGTGAGTTTGTGTATGTAGAGAGAGAGGAAGTAAGACCACAGGATGGAAGACAGAGAACATAAATCATTTCATGGAACTTGATTTTCACTTCCCTCTTTGTCACTTTCAGTTCTAAAGGGATATTTTTACATAATCTCCATGTTCTCAAGATTCAAACAAAATAAAGTTTTTTTGTTTTTTGTTTTTTGTTTTTTTTTTTTTAGTGATTATACACATTGGCTTTCATCTATAGTTTGAAAGTTAATGAGTATACAGATGCAGATATGTATGGGTACTTTTTTAAAAAAAATCAACATTTTGATAATAAAAACATACTACTAAGAGATAAATTCACACTGGCCTTTGTATATGTTTTTAGGAGAACTCATAAGTGAACTCCGGGACAAAGATTTTTCACATTCTAGGAATCAAAAAAAAATACTACTTGTAGTTCATTAAAAAATATTATCAAAATATCCTATGGCCGAGTTAGAAATGAGTCAAAATAAATGAGAATTCAGTCTATAATGTAAATGTCCCAAGTCAAATGTTAGTAATAGTGTTCCAAATGGAGAGTACGTGAATGATCCTTTATAACAGAGAAGAGTTTATCCCGAGAATATGATCTTTGCCTAATACCAGGACACCTATTAATGTAATCACTTATTCATTAAATATTTTTTAGATGTTTTTCTATACTTAAACTTTGTTTTGCAATGAAAATGTTTTACCCTTACAATAACGTGAGAAAACAAACAAAATTTTTTAAAAATGTAGTAAGTACTAACTCAGCAACAATATGAGATTGATTTTCACTTGGCCTTGGTTGAAGGTGGGCATTTGGGAAGTTTCGTATAAAAATATTCACGAGCAGACATTGCCCTTTTAAAGTAGTAGATTCGTCGAGTACATAATGGCCCAGTTTCCCTGGAAAAGTAGAGAGAAGGAAACATAAGGAAAGGGGCTATAGGAGGTAAGGCATAAACAGAACTGATGCCTACCATGAGTTGTGCCTTCACAAAAGGGCTATGGGCCTGTCACCCCCAGAGGGGGAGGTCCGCACTAGGGTCTCATTGCCTCGGTGCACACCCAGCAGCCTCCAACTGACACTGTGGTACAGGCAGTCCTCATCACAAACACAGGAGGAATGAAACTCAGCCAAACTGACTTCCCTGGGAGGACGCCTCACGCCAGCTGTATATGAACATCCAGTTTTTTTGTGCAAGCTTCGGAACTAAATATCTTCCACTCGGTAGGTAGGTCCTTGAGAGACATTAAGACTGGAGGGAAACATTAGACTTATAATTTCTTATAATTTCATATGAAACCAGGGTTTTCCCAAGGGTCATTAAGAACATGGGGACGATGGGAATGCAAGCTGGTGCAGCCACTCTGGAAAACAGTATGGAGGTTCCTCAAAAAATTAAAGATAGAACTACCCTATGACCCAGCAATTGCGCTACTAGGCATTTATCCAAGGGATACAGGTGTGCTGTTTCGAAGGGACACGTGCACCCCCATGTTTATAGCAGCACTGTCGACAATAGCCAAAGTATGGAAAGAGCCCAGATGTCCATTGGTGGATGAATGGTTAAAGAAGATGTGGTGTATATGTATACAATGGAGTATTACTCGGCAATCAAAAAGCATGAAATCTTGCCATTTGCAACTACATGGGATGGAACTGGAGGGTATTATGCTAAGTGACATTGGTCAGTCCGAGAAAGACAAATATCATATGACTTCACTCATATGAGGACTTTAAGAGACAAAACAGATGAACAGAAGGGAAAGGAAGCAAAAATAATATAAAAACAGGGAGGGGGACAAAGCATAAGAGACTCTTAAATATGATGAACAAACAGAGGGTTACCGGAGGGGGTGTGGGAGGGGGGGATGGGCTAAATGGGTAAAGGGCCATTAAGGAATCTACTCCTGAAATCATGGTTGCACTATATGCTAACTAATTTGGATGTAAATTAAAAAAAAAATTAAGAATTTTGTTGAAAAAAAAAAGAACATGGGGACAGGACAGTACTAGGCAGCTACACCCTGTCACTGTCCTCCATTCTGTCTGTATTTGACACACAGGCTCTGAGCAGGGAGCTCCCAAGTCCACTTCTTGGAAGCATTTACCTGAGATGCTGTGTATGAGTTTTAATTCCCAGGGAAGAGGTAGAAATATCGTGTCATGGAGAGTCTCTCAATCGTGGGCATCTGGGTAATTATATTTGGAGTCTCAAATGAATATTGAACCTAAGGCAGGAAAGAAAATCTTTAGATACTTCCTAAAAGGGAAATCTGGACTTCTCTCTCAGGAGTCACAGAATTTGTGGTATGTTTTAAGGCTGTGGCCAGGGGGGTATACACAGAAGAAACGTTTAGCTTTTCCTTGGCTATAGTACATCCATGCATGATGGAGTATCCTCAAGCATTTTCTGAATAAACAAGGCCATCAGAATCAGAGAAACTCACACTGGTTCCGTGCAGTATTTCCCCAAAACCTCCTCTTTAAACAAACGTGGAGTACAGGAAGGAATGCCAAGATGGCCTAAGAGCTTTCAGGATTCCCCACCCACCCACCCACCAAAAAAAATTGAGAATGGTTGCACAGTGATGACATTGAAAAAAACAGAAGACCTGTACCTTTCGGAAAATCTCCTCCAAATGATGACAACAAGAATACATTTTGAAGTAGCGGATAAGATGGGAAATGAAGACAGAGCCATCTGTGTTCAGTCTCCAGGAAACATTATCTGCAAAGAAAAGGTATGAAAATACTGGCAGATGTGGCCTTTGTGTTGTGTGTGGAAGACTCTTAGAGTCAGAGCTTTTGGGCATAGTTTGATTTTAGTGCTTTGGAGGAGAGAGAAAGGCAAAGCTGGGACCTCCAGTGTCCCCAGGAGGCCCAGAGAAAACCGTCGTGGACTCTCAGCCATCAACCCTGTTCACGCTCTTGGAGCCAAAGTTACATGCCTCGGACTGCAAGTAGTGGAAAAGAAACTAATTCCTGTCGTGCCATTCTGGACCTCCTCTTCGTCTGTTCTGTTTTCTCCTGGAATATTTTGCTCGTTTTTTATCGTGACCATCTCTTGAGCTACCACTCTTCGTGACCATTGCAGTGTGATCAAATCTCTCCCATCGTCAAAAAGCTAATAGTCTGATGGTCACTTTATCTGCAGCTCCCTTCCTGTTCCTTCCTCCTTTTAATGGTTGCATTCCTCAGGTTTGTCTCTCCCCACCGTCTTCACATCCTCCGAGCCCTAGCCCGCTCACCCGTCTGCTGTCTCCCCCCACCACCCTGACTTTACCAAGTCACTTTCCTCAAGGCCATTCATGGCCTCCACGTCATTCAATCTCATGGTCACTCGCTGGGTTTCACCTGATCTCTCTCATTCAAATCAGAAACTGGCCATAAGTCCAGTGGAGGCTTTCTTGGTCACACTGACCACACATACACACCCTTACTTTTCTTTCTTATGCCCTGATAGGAAACTTCCTGAGCCCAACTTACAAATACTCTGCCTCCCAGCTTGACCTCTACCATCCACAAGCCTCAGCTTTGGGATCTCGTCTCCGTCTCTTCTCTGCTCCTGTATAATTTCATCTATTTTTAGACTACGAGATATAATTCTCAGCCACCACCTCCCGAATCCTGGTGCCATTCTCTTTTCTGAGGTACACAGCTTTGTAACTCTCTCTGTTTCATCTGGAAATATGCCAAAGACATCTCACACTTTCTGGCAGGATTCCCGTTTTAATGAATGCACCATGACCATGCCTTGAGTCCTCTGTGTCATCCCTTCTTACTCACCTGCCACATCCTCCCAACACTGGGTCCTAGACATTTTATACACTAATTCCTTCTGGATTCAACAGCTGTGTCTTCCCGAGACTGCCGTTACCAGCCGTGGCCAGTAACCCTGCAGTAGCGTTTTAACCCGCCTCCTGTATTTCCTGCTGTACTGTAATCCATTCCCCACAGAATCCCCGGAGTAGTTATATAAAAATGATAATCTTACCATTTCATTGCTTAAGTTTCACCAAAACTTCCTATTACTATTAGTATAAAGTAATATTAGTAATAAAGTATGTAAACAGAAAAGATCAAATCCTTCCCGAACCTATGAGGCCCCAAATCGCATGACCCCTCCTGACCTCTCCAACCTCCCTCTCAGCACTGAGCCCCAGCTCTGTGCTCAAGATATACTGGCCCATTTTTCCAGGCTCCTTTCTTTCCCAGGTCCTCTGTGCTTTTTCTGTCTGGAATGTTCCTCGCTTACCCTTGACATAGTTAACTCCTTCATCTTTCAACACGTTTTTCCTCAAAGCACTTAGCACAGTCAAGAGACAGTCAGTATCTACTTGTGAGACGTGGGTGTATATTTTCCCCTGAGTTAACCTCTGCCTCTCTGCTCCGACCAAATGCTCCGTGAGGTTCAGTAAGCACATCTGCTTCACTTGTGGATCCTACACCCTGTGCTCACTCCACCTTAGCGGGTCGTTACGTGTGCAAAAATGAATGCAAGAACTTTACATGTTACACTTCATTTCCTTAAGTAAGTTAAAGAGTCTCTTAGATACATACCAGCCCATATATGCCTTCTTAACTTCCTTTAATTGCTAAAAGTACAGAGCTCTTCTTTCAAATAAAGTTTTATTTAAACTCCAGTATGTAAAACAAAGAGAAGTATGACTGTTCCAGGTACGGAGTGGGTGTTCCCTGCATAGCCTTTTCCTGTCAGACGACACTCAGAGGGTCCTCCAGTCCCTTGCTGCTCATGTGTGGCCATGGGCGGACAGCACTAGCTTCACCACAGGGTGTTTTGAAAGGCACCATCTCGCCACCCCCCCAAGACCCACTGAATCAGAACCCTGCCTGTAATATCGTTCCAAAGGGATGTCTGTGCACATCGCAGTTGGTAATCACTGCAGTAGAGGACTTATAACGGTGGCTTTGTAAACAAGATTCTTGAAATTGCCCTGGTTTTCTAAATCACCCCAATGTCATTGGTGACTGTTAAATAGATTTTCTGCAGGTTTGGCCACGATCAGCTCGGTATATCTTGTGTTTCTATCTCCTACTTTGTCTTTGCTGCCAAAGGAGGATTTTCAGTCTTGGCTGCATGATGCTGAAGTCAGGCATTTGAATATTAACTAATTTTTTTTAGATTAGAGTCAAATAATAATGTAAGAGGTTCTGGAATGTGTGAAGAAAGTACTACAGTTTTACTGATTACCTGTTTAATTGCTAGCAGGTGATGAGGTGGGCCAAATCATGTGCCATTGCTGTCTGAACAAACAAAAACAACTCTGATTTATAGTTAGACTATTGTAACACTGGATCCTCATAAAACTCTGGTTTATTTTGAATGTTTCCTCCAAAATGAAGACTTCTAGCTTTCTAGTTATAAAAAACTCCGTATTTTTAATCTATTCTCTGCCTAAAATCTATCATGAAGGAAGAGATGTTTTTCAATCAGCAATCACATAGGATCACAGCCAGGCCTGTGATCTGGAAACTAACAGGAGATCGAGAAGCTTCTCTCTGAAGTCACTTACGTGGAGTCGAAGATTTGAAAGCGATGAAGTCCTTCTCCACATGGGTCTTTTGTACGGCATCACTGAAGATGTAGGGTGCTGAGGGCTGGTTTTCCGGCCATGCACAGGCTTCTCCCACATCTGTCACCCAGACGGCCCCGTTGCCTTCTGGGAGAGACACGCTTGTCTTACAAAAGATGTTACAGACACAGACACACAAAATGTCTCTTAACCCTTATACCTTTACTTCAATACATTTCCATCTGGAATTTATTAAAAATGCCAGTATCTTCCTGATAGAAAAATTGCCTCACTGACTGGGAACTACACAGAGGCCACTTATGTTTAGTAGAACCTAGTCCCAGATGATCGGGACACGTGCTGTTATTCTAGGGCACTTAACACTTGTTCAACGACGATACAGGCTTCGTATCTTTCTGGAGCAGGTCCAAGTGCCGTTCTACAGTGTGGTTTCTCTCCCTCAGCCCTGGGAAGGCGAAGGCTGGACACCAGGCTAATCACAGAAAAAAGCAGACGGCCACCCCCTGCGTCCCCCAGCTCCAACTCACTGCCTCGGCAGGCCTGCATGATGATGACCTTCGGTTTGTCTTTTAGGTTCCTGCAGTTGCGATTGTTGAAAATCTGGAAGATGGTGTCGTCGTGAAGGACATCTGGCTCTTCCTCCCTGTGCTTTGTCCCACAGATCCCGTCCAGGATGCCGTGTGACATGAACACGAGGAACGTGCTGTCTGAGAAGCGGTGCTCTGGGCGGGTGGCAAAGTGCTTCAGCTCGACCTTCATTTCCTGAAAGAGTTTCCAGACTTACCACCTGGGAGCTGTCTGTGTCTACTTTGTGCTCACACAGTACATGGACTTTACACGCACACACGCAAGAGGGAGAGAGAGACAGCAGAAATGGAGTGATCAGACGATTTGGACAGAGTGGAATTGTACGAGAAATTACGTTCTGACATACAGCCAGAAAGCTGGATGTATAGAATGGAAAAGCAGGGTTTTTTCATACAGCGTGTAGCCCGGTGGTGTTCAGTAGATCCTTAGACTGAGGGAGACGCTAGGAGGTGGAGTACAGGGAGGGACACGTGAGGTGACGGGTCTCCTGCCAAAGGCTTTGCTTTTCACAACTGTGTTACAGGCTGCAGTTGCCCTGAGTTTTCATTAAACAAAGAGTGAGACAGAGACAGAGATGGAGGGACTGTTTCCACTGGCGTAGAGACGTGAACAGATTCCTTGCTAGGTTTAAAATGGTTTGTCTAAAGCCTCCCGTGGTATTTTTTTGGATGAAGCCAGAATCACAACTTCTTCTGCGTATGTATGTGTGCAAAACTTGTTTTGTTTTGTTTTTTAACCGCCTACTTGGCTTCACATTCAGACGCACGATACTGAAATTATAAAGGCCTCAGAGTGGTGTCTCACATAGACTATCAAGTGATGGGTGTCTCCCAAACTGAGAGCATTAGCAAGAGCCAGCCTGTTTAGTGAACTACTGCCATCTAGGTCTTGGCCTTCAGAGTGTACGTCGGGAGAGGCTGGGGTGCAGGATGCCTATTCTAGAGAAATGCAGTTTCTGTAACGTGCGCTCCGTTCTGACAGCCGCCAAGGAAGAAGTCCAGGAAGGAGATGCAAGGAGGGACACTCATCCCAACTCATCCCACTCTCTGGGGCCATTACCTGAGCGGTGAGATTTTCCTTTATAACCACTGAATATCCAAGGTTCTCCAGCAGATCTCGCATCCCCGAAATGTCCTTTTCACAGCCTTCTCGCTCAGAAAGATAATCGAATGTTCTATTGCAAATGATGAGAGCCAGGCGCATTCGGCTCGTCTTCTCCATCACTGGATAGATCTGCAGTTAACCGACACAGAGTGAGTTGCACCCAGCCTCCCACTTTTGCCTCCAAATCCTATGCAAAATAGGCCCTTACAATTAGAGATTTGATGGCTGGAGGACTTGGGGATGGAACTAGGGATTCATGAACAAGGCACCAGACTAAAAACGTGTAGTAGTTCTGAGTACACGCTCCGGAAACCTTGCTTCGGTTCACTGGTGGCGAGGAGTTTAAAGTATGTTTGAGGACGGGATGAAACAGACAGGAAATCTGATGTAAGGGCCCCTTAATTAGATAACATGATTGAATAGCATCCTGTTCCTTTGGGGCTGATCCTAAGGCATCTGTAGCAAGAACTGAAATTTCCAGTGAGTTCCATGTTGTTTGAGTGGACAACCTTGTGTGCCCCTATTCCAAAGTATATTACCTCATGTGCCATTATTGTCTTTGGTTCCTTAAAATGGATACAAGGACAAAGCTTCAGCACATTGATTTGGGAAGCCTGGGTTACCTGAAAAACTACAAGAGAAAAAATTACTCATTAAGGAGTAGCACCCACTGTCTGGCAGTCATGAGGATCTTTTCACCGGGCTCTCATTCTTAGGAAATGCTCACCGCCATCCCTTCAAAAGGCTTAATAAAACAACAACAAAAAAATCATTTTGTATTACAAATGACAAAAAGAGAAATCTTCATACCACCATCTTTCTTTCTGCTTCTTACTGACCCCACGGACAACTTTTGTTTTTGTCAGTGGCCATGGCATTGAGTAACCTTTCAATCCCCGTGCGTTAGTCTCACACAGACACAGTACCTAAGATTTGGAAGGAAGCCTAATGTTCATGTGGCCTGGTCAAGTGATTATTCAGTTATTTAACTCCACTAAAATATCCCTACTGTGCACATTGTTACCACCAGTGCAGTGTCTCCACTAACAGAGACCCTGCAGGATTCTAAAGCATTTTGACCAATTCTGAGGATCCTGGAGTGTGAGCTTTCAAAGCACTGGTGTATATAGTTCCTGCATTGGAACCATCAAGACAAATGTCTCCTTCCTTTTCCCATGAAAGCTCACTAATACTTCTACGGCTTCTCTCCTCGTGTTTCGATCACTTTATGTAAATGTGCCCCTAAAAACTATGATAATAATAGCTCTTAATTGTGCTTGCTGTATGGTAGGCTTCATTAGGACAGGGAAGGTGTGTTTAATCTCTGTATTTCCTATGCCTAGAATGATTATCTGGCACAGCTACCAGGCATCTTTCCCTTTTCTTGTTGTAGTTTTCCCGTAGGGAAACAAGCCTTCCGGTCCTTCCAGTATTGCTGGGTAAGAACAATTTCATCTTCCTGACCAACAGGTCTGTTCGTTTTCCCGCACGTCTGCCCACCTTCTGTCCTTCCCCTCCTGTGACAAAGGACGGCACATTCTTCCTCCTGGCTGAGGGTAGAGACTGTACTTACGTTCCCGCTCGATTTCCTCTCACCTGCGAGAACTGTACTCGGGTGATTCCTCGTCCCCGTCTTCTGCATCATGTGTACCCCTTCTTGCCCCTGCTGTGCTCTCCCTGCTGGCGTATCACATGCCTTGATATCCCTTTATCTGTTACGCACTCTGCCCCTGCACTTGGTGTCCCATCCAGCTATTGTGTTTCCCCGCTCTGCTTCTCAGTACAATTCGTTAAAGGTGGCATCTCTTTTCGCTATTTTCATCTCTCATTCTCTTTTCTTCATGCGGTAGACACTGACTGTCATTATCAACACTTAAATGCTTGAGATTGAGGTCACCACTGGCCATCTGTTGCTTCTTGAGCATTCAAACGTGGTCGAGCACACCTTCCTCCTTGAGCAGGGTTCTCCAGGCTTCAGAAGCTCTGCGTGCGGTAACCGTCCTCTCTCAAGCTGGATGCCCTTCGCCAGCCTTGTGCTTCCTCCACGCCTCCCAGAGTTGGGTCTTTCTACATTGAACCCTCTAAGATGTTCTGTCAGCCTCTCTCCCCAGGTGGCCTCTTCCAGACATGTCATCCTAAATACTGTCTACATGCTGCTGAATCCTGAGATTTACTCCCGTGCCTGGTCCCCTGTGAACAACGTGGCTGAATCTACCTGTGTATTCAACATGTACCCTTGGATGTGATCCAGGCAACAAAGTAAATGTGTAGAGAGAAGGACTCCTGATATTTGCCCACTCCTACAAATAGGTTTTTCCTCAGATTTCTCTCTACTACAAGTTTTTTGCTATCTCAGTTCCTCACACCCTTCACCTAGTTGCCTACCCAAAACACAGAATCATCCTTGGTTCCTCCTCTTCCTTATTTAGCCCACAGCCAGTCCAGGATAGTTTTTGTTGACTCTCCATCCCAGAGAGCTCCAGATTTGACTATCTGAGATCTTCCCTACCATGACACCAGCTGAAAGCTATGATCTCTTAACTGAAACATTTGAACATATTTGACCTTTCTGATGCTATGCTGGTTTATCACTCCTCCACCTAGAAACTTCTAAGGGCCTTTCTATTGCAGATACAATCCCGATACTTTCCCACTTTCTAAAAGGCTCTAAATAGTATGGTAGCTCCAAGCTGAGATCCTAACAGCTCCTTCTACGTCCCTCCTAATCTCCTCCTCTCCCATCAGATTGATCTTGGGACACGGCAAGACCATTTCTGACTGAGAGCTCTTGGGATTGTTTCCTCCTTCCC